ATATTCTTTCTTTAGTGTAATTAACATAAAATATTATATGAGCTTCAGGTGTACAACATATTGTTTTGACCGTTCTATACACAGTAAGGATTGTCCCCATTTGTCACTGTGTAACATTACTGCAATATTATTGACTATATTCCCTATGCTTTACTTTTCATCTTTGTGACTTGTTTATAAGTGGGAGTTTTTACTTCTTCATCCCCTTTATCTATTTTACCCAATCCCCTCTCCACCTCTTCTCTGGCAACCACCAGTTTGTTCCTTGTAATTAAGAGTCCATTTTCTGTTTGATCATTTGTTTGTTTTTTAGATTTTACATATAAGTGAAATCATATATTTGTGTTTCCCTTACCATGATATCCTCTAGGTTTTTCATGCTGTCACAAATGGCAAGATCTCATTCATTTTTAATGGCTGAGAAATATTCCACATTTTCTTTATCATTTGTTTATTGATGTGCTCTTAGGTTGCTTCCATATTTTGGCTAGTGTAAGTAATGCTGCAATAAACACAGGGGTGCATGTATATTTTCAAATTACTGTTTTTGTTTTCTTTGTGGAGGCATGTTTTTTTTTTTTTGAAATAGGAGAACAACAAAAAAATATTCCTGTTTCTTTTCATGTCTTTCATTAGAATGATTTTGTTGTTCTAGCTGCATCAGGACTCATCATTGCCTTTACAAATGTGCATCATTTTCTTTACATCTCTGTGGGAACTCCACAACACATTTGGAAATGGAAAGCTTGTCTATAACTTTCTAACTTAGGATTAGCAGTAATTTGAGCAACCGAATCTTGATCTTCATCCTTTGATTATTTTGTTGTTTAGGCACAAACACATGAGCATGTGCATGCACAAACATTAAGTTAGCCAAAAGAAAGTGAAATAATAAAGCCGTCAGAAGAAACACCTAGTGTAGCAGCTATGTTGAAATCCTGAGGGCAAGGAGAAATGCATTTGACTCTTAGTGAAATCAGGAAGATTTTTCTTCCATGGTTTATAAATTATAGCAAAATATTAAAAGAGGTGTTACTCAAATGTAAATTTTAAATCTGGTACTATTAATATCCCCATTTGTGAGCATTCAGAATGAGAACAAAACAACAAAAAAATCCCTTAAAGTTTTAACTTTTAATTTAGTATATAGGATTCAGGCATAAGGGGTGGGAAGTGAGGGTAGGAGAGGTTTGTATCTCTAACGTGAGCTTCAGTTCTTATCCTTTCAGTTCGATCCTTGTAATCAGTAAATCGCTGGGCTTGGTGATAATGCATGCATATGGAAAACGACTAATTTATTTTCATGAAGACTATTAATAGGTTGCAAGAAAGAAAAAGTAATTAATTATAACTTCCAGCCTTATAATAACCATAAACTTATTAAACCTCTCCACAGTAATATTTAGAGAATACTGATGTATGTCTTTGAAGATCAAGTTGTGCTGGGCTTGCATGCAAATATTTAAGAAGTTAATTAAAATATGAATTATTTTTGAACTCTGATTCTGGTTATATTGTAAGAGTACATTCTAATTATTAATGAAGCATCCAAATTTTCTTTTTTTCCTAATTAGAATTTCTAGTTATGTCTATTTGAGGCCATCAAAATTCAGTGCTACTACTAGACATATTGGTATGAATTGCAAAGTTGGAGAAAAAGTTTATTTTAGTACTTTACTTTTTTTTTCCAATAATAAAACTAACAGATTTACTGTTTATTCTGAGTGTCCTTTTTTTATGTTGAAAATGAAATCTTATATTTTTAATGTCAAGTAAAGGTGCTTTCATATTTTTACCCATTTTTAGGGTATTAAGAAGCAGATGGACCTCAAGCCTACAACCACAACAGGATAATTATGATTCTAAGTTATTTCATTTGATTACCTTACAGCTGATTATATTAAATTTTAATGTGTTTGTATCAATACTTGAATAAAATTAGGCATTTTATAGGTCATCTTGAAATATCAATACAGAGGCATGCACATGTAAGTTAAAATACTTTGCTTCTTAGTCCTATAATATAACACTTCAAGTATGATTATAGGTCCAAAGATGATATTCTACATACATCCACTCCAGATTTTAGAAATAATCAGTACTAACAAATATTTGTAGGGAAGTCAATAATCAGCATCTGAAATATTTAAATTTTTATTTATATAGTGATTTTATATACTAATGTTTATTTTTTACCATAGTTAAATTTTAGCAAATTAATTAGTTATGGAACAGTATTTGCATTTATGGCTAAATATAAGCAAGTAACATAACAGCAAATTCATTTCTTTTGTAAACATTTTTCATTGCAGACATTTGTTGTACATTTGTACAAAATGAAATATTCTCTAAAGAAAACAAAAATTAATATACTGGGTTGTGTGTTAATAGTCTTTTTTTTAAAAGATTTTATTTATTTATTTGACAGAGAATCACAAGTAGGCAGAGAAAGAGGAGGAAGCAGGCTCCCTGCTGAGCAGAGAGCTGCATGCAGGGCTCCATCCCAGGACCCTGGGATCATGACCTGAGCCAAAGACAGAGGCTTTAACCCACTGAGCCACCCAGGAGCCCTTTATGTTAATAGTCTTAAGCTAGAACAGTATCTTTTACATCTTAGCTTGTTGTTAACTTTTAGTAAACATACAGAATTGAATTAACACTTGGGAAAAAAGTTATCATGAAAAGAGGCAACCAGATAACTACTGACTAAGAAATGCCTGAATTCTCCAACATTAGTGATTGGTGTCAATTTGATTACCCAACATCATTTGAGAACTCTCCATGAGCCATTATTATGCTTGATTCTGAAGATTTAAAAATAAATGAGATGTTCACTGCCCTTGAGGCTTCTTTCCTACACATGGAAAGAAGGAATAAGGGAAAAAAGGAAGAACTTCATCTTTTCTAATGTGGTATGAGTTTGTAGATTTTTTTTTTTTTGTAAAGGATAAAATTCACATTATTGTAAAACTAATAATAGTCAACCATGATATACCACACATTGATGCTGAAGAAGATTGATGCTCAGAGACTAATTTTTTTTTCAAGTTCATATAGGTTGCTATTTGTAGGTACAGAATGAAAATCTTATGTCTTCTATAGATCCTAAGAATCTCAAGCAAATGTATAATTATAGATGCTAGGAAAAAGATATCTAAATATGGAAAAACTTGTTCTTCTCTTAGCTGCTTTGACATTTGAGTCTGCAGTTAGTGTCTAAGTGGGCTCTACTTTAACCCTTTCATCCTTTTACTTGATGTTGGTTAAATATACTATGACTAGATTCAACTCTGTTGTAAACAGCCCTGATTTCTTCCTCCTTTATATTTTTTTACAGATTTCTTTATTTATTTTTAGAGGAAAAGAGGGAGTACGAGTGGGGGAAGGGACAAAGGGAGAGAATCTCTAGCAGAGTCCCTGCCGAGCGTGGATCCTGACATGAAATTGGATCCTAGGACCTTGAGATCTTGACCTGAGCCAAAACCAAAAGTTGGATGCCCAACCAACTTAGCTACCCAGGCACCCCTTTATCTTTTATTAGCATTTGTTTTTCAATGCATATAAAGCAGTGCTTCTCAAACTTTATTGAGCATATAAATTACCTGAGGTTTTAGTAAAATGAAGATTCAAATTTAGTAGGTCTGGGAAGTGACTTGAAATTTTGTGATTTTGCTAAATTCTTAAATGATGTTAGTGTTGTTCATCTGAACATCATTCTTAACCAAGTAGTAAGGCTTTGAAAAGCAAAATGATAAAGTTATTACTTTACTTTAAAGCCTGACTGGTCCTTCATTACTTGCAGATATTTGAGATTTGGAGTAGTCCACCTTGAGGGAGGCTGCCTCCAGTTTGTTGGTTATTGAAGGTCTGTAATAAAGAGCTTTATGTGTATATAGCACAGAGAACAAAATCAGCCATTGGACTTCCATGATTCCCTTTACTCAGTGACTGTTAGGTTTTTGGCATACATCTAAAATTATGAAGTGAGGAAAAAGAACATGTTCCAAACATCATTTCTGGTGTTCTGGATTTTTTTACGTGAATAAACCCTAGGATTATGCCTTCGACTAATTATGCAGCAACAGCTGGGATTTATTCAGTTAATAAGCATTCGTTAAGCTCATCTACATGGGATGCATTGCCCTTATTGCTGCATAAGCAAAAAGAAACAAACAGTAGTGTCACTATCTCCAGCATGCCAAAATACAAAATACTCAGCTAATTTGACAATGACCTAGGAATTTTATATTTATCTCCATATTTGGTAGCAAAATAATATCATTTACATATTTTCTTTATTATTATAATGGTAATATGTGACTGAGGTAATGGTGGTGGTATGATTATAAATCTTACAACATGTCCTTCCCACACCTCCAAAAAAAAGAAAGAAAGAAAAATAAAACTATAAATACCCATGCTGTTTGGAGAAATACAAGAGGACATCCTTAATTCAACTTTCCTATAAGTGAAAAAACAAATAGCACATTCCACTCAGGTGTTGGTTGTGCTCCATCACATGTATTTATGGAGATCAAGAAGAATTTGAGAAAGAGATCAACAGTTTCAGAGTATTCAAATGTAATTGTGAACAAAGAATTTCATAAACAGCAAAATTGTTTCTATCAAGATTACATGAAATGATTAAATATGCAAGAGCTCAAAAAAATATGCAAGAGCTCAAGGAGTTATGTGCCCATGATCCGTCTCTGAGGAATCGATTAGAAGATGAATTTCATCCAACCAAGAGACAATAGGGGCAATTACAACAAAAGGAGTGACAGTAGACATTTTATATACTTAATTCTAGGTTGAAGACTAAAAGGAATGTATGGATGAGGGTGGAATAAAATATGTTATGTGATGAATGTCATTTGTGTCTAACAGTATCCTGCAACAAAGAAGTGAAATAGGGGAAAGGAAATAGGGGAAAAGAAAATTAACATATGTTACTGATATTGGTGCTAGCATTATATATACCATTCAAGCATACCATTATAGTGCTTACTTCAGCAGCACATGTGCTAAAATTGAAATGATAGAGGGAAGATTAGCATGGTCCCATAAAAGGATGACCTGCAAATCCATGAAGTGTTCCATATTAAAAAAAAAAAAAGTATACCATTGTAAGTCAACAAAAAAGTTAGTAAAAGATTAAGAAAATAGAGACATGTTTTCATACCAAGGTAACCAATAGAACAAAAGTTCAAACTCACCTAAGCATCAAAACAAATTTAGTGGATAAAAAAGCAAAGAAACCTGTTATATAAATAATTATCAAATGTAATGAAGTGCATATAATAGCTATATCAAACTAATGTAATAATTGAGACCAATATATCACACCAATAAATATGAATAGATCTAATTCATCTATTAAAAACATTTTTAATTTGCTTCACAAAGCAAGAAATGACTATATAGCTTGTAACATCCACACTTAATTTTTTTTTCCAAAAAGGTAAAAATGAAAAAATGCACAAATGTGTATCAAGCAAATGGTAGCCATAATAAACCAAGAGAAGTTATGTTGATATCAAAGTGCATACAAAGCTAAAATCATTAAATGTGAAAATAAGGACATGATGTTTGGGTATAAGCCAATATTTATAATGGAAATATAAAAAGTATAAATAATAGTGAACCAATAATGCAATAGCAATCTTTATAAAATAAAACTTAAAAACAATGCAGGAAAACATAGAAACTCACTAATAACTGGACTACCAAAAACCTAGTTGAATAAACAAATTGACACTGAAATATACAGGGAAAAATAAACATGCAAAGATGGACATAAAATCAATTAAATCTTTGGAAAAGAATAAACCTAAAAGGGATTAAAATACAGACCCTTTGTAATTAAAACAGCATGGTTTTGATGCATGAATTGACATGCTAACCAGGGAAATAGATGTCCAGAATTACACTAAAAAATAAGAAAGTTTAGTGTGAGATAAGGATAGCATCTCATATCTTTTGGGAAGCAAAGGCTTTTTAAATAACATTATTGGGACAATTGACTAGCCATTGACAAAGGATAAAATTAAATCCAAATCTCATATCATTATACAAGGAGAAACATCAGAGTTCAAGGCTCTAAATTTAAAAAAACATAAAACCATACAAGCCTTAGAAGAAAACGTAGGTGAAGCCTTCCTTAGTCTGTGTGGAAATGCTTTCTAACTACAAGTAAAAATGTAGATATATAAAAGAAAAGATTGACAAATTTTACTTAATAGAAATAAAATCCATGCCAAAAATGCCATTAAAAAAGTAAGAGAAAATAGATACTAAGAGGCTGAAAAACATGAAGCTGCAAATTGGAAGGAAACATTTGCAGATAACATATTGAAAAAGACTTTTTTTACCAGATTACATAAGGAATTCTCAAATGTCAAAAGTAAGAAAACAAATGACCCAATTAAAAAGAATCAGGGGCTTGGGGCGCCTGGGTGGCTCAGTGGGTTAAAGCCTCTGCCTTCAGCTGAGGTCATGATCCCAGGGTCCTGGGATCAAGCCCCACATCAGGCTCTCTGCTCAGTGGGGAGCCTGCTTCCTCCTCTCTCTCTGCCTGCCTCTCTGCCTACTTGTGATCTCTCTGTCAAATAAATAAATAAAATCTTAAAAAAAAAAAAAAAGAATCAGGGGCTTGAGATACTTCATCAAACAGGATATACAGAAAGCAATTAGCATATGAAACAAGTTCATTAATACTCTGAGCTATTAGGGAAACACAAATTAAAAACGTAATGAGATCTATTCCACACCTATTAGAATGGTTAAAATAAAAAATGCTAGTAATACCCAGTGTGGGTGAGGGTGCAGAGCAAGTGGGCCTTGCATAAATTGGTGGTGGGGATGAAAAATGGTACAGCTACTTTGGACAATGTTGTGGCAGTTTTGTATATAGCTAAACTTACACTAATTGTATTTTTCAGAATTTCTGCTTACATGCATTTGATCTAGAAAAATGAAAGCCTATGTTTACACAAACAACTTTGCACAAGTGTTTATAGCTGCTCTTTTCATAATTCCCAAAACCTGCAATCAACACAAGTGTTCTTCAGTGGGTGAACGGATCAATAAACCCTGGCACACCCATGTAACAGGATACTAATCAGAAATAAAAATGAATAAACTTGATGTACATAAATAATTTTGATAAATTTTAAAGATAGTACACTGAATGATAGAAGCTAGCTTCAAATTGCTAAAAACTATATTGCATTGATAGGATGTCCTCACAAAACCAAACTCTGTAGTTAAGGGAGAAGAGATCAGTGGTTTCCAGGGTTAGAGATGGGAGAGGCTGGGACCAAAGAGCACAAAAAAAGAAAAAATGTAACACAAGGGAGATTTGAGGCCGAATTGTATTATAGTAATGGTTACACAAATCTATACATATATTAAAATCACAGAATTATACATGAAAAATCTTAATTAGTAAAATTAAATGTGTTAATATAGTAAATTAAATTAAAAAATTAAAATGTGTTAATATAAAAAAGTGGAAAAATACTTGAAAATTTTGAAAAAAATAAAATCTTCAGAAAGTAAAATGGAGGGAATTCCAAAGGATATACTGTTCAGTGAAAAAGGCAATGTGTAAAAGAACATCTTCAATATAGCACTCTTTATAGAAAAAGAGAATTTTGAAACATTGCGAATCATTTATTTGTGTGAGAAAAAGCACAAGAAGGATAAACCAGAAGCTAAGGAAATATTTCTTTCTGTGGGATAAACAATGGGATATACTGGAATGATGCTCTTTGTAGAGTTTGGCTGTTTGGAATAGCGTTACTATTTCATGTCCTCATAAGGTACCTAACTAAAATCAACGATGGTAAAAGTTTTTAAATGGCATATATCATACTGAAAGTATAGAAGGATATAGTACATTTGAGAACTATTAAGGTATGTTCTCTGCTGCTTTAGTGAGCTCCTCTTTTCCTAGTAACTTATAGATGATTGCTTTCGTATCTGCAGAAGGGAAAAACTGTAATATTCTAAATAATGCCAGTAACAGCCCTTATCTATACCAATCAAATAGCAATCTTAGAACTCTCCGCTCAGCCCTTTAAAGTTAATAAAGTACCCTGAAAATTTCTCTGCTCAGCCTTTTAAAGTTAATAAAGTACCCTGAAAATTGCTGGGCTAAGTGGTTGACTACAAAAGGAGAGAATACCAAATACTATAATTTATTTGGTTTAGTCCAGATTTTATAGCTGCATTCCCCACAATATATCAGATATCATGCTTTGTAAGGAAAGATATTATGCAACTTTTTGCTATACACTGAAGCATTTACAAAAAACATAAAAAAGAAATAAAATTTGATGTGATATCTTTAAACTCAGAAAAAAACAATAATTAAAATACCTCTGGTATTTCTAGGAGCACCTGGGTGGCTTAGTCAGTTAAGTGTCTGACTCTTAGTTTCAGCTCAGGTCATGATCTCGGGGTCCTGGGATTGAGCCCAGCGTGGGGCTCCATTCTTACTGCTGAGTCTCCTTGTCCCTGTTCTTCGGCCCCTCATTCTGTTCTCTCTCTTTCTCTCTCTCTTTCTGTCTCTCTTAAAGGAATAACTAAAATCTTAAAAAAAAAACAAACCTGGTATGTTTAGATGTGACTATTAACAATATTAATTATTTGTATCATTTTTCTATGTCAAGTTTATTTTTGTTTTTTATAATTAACTCTATGGATAAACCTTATTCTCTAGTTCTTGCTCATTTTTATTCCTATTAAAAGATGTCTAGTTAATAAAGCATAATACATTGTATCATCCAATGGAAATAAATGTTAAATTATGGAGATACTTTATTCAAACTTCCAAAGATTAGCCAAGCAATTAATTATGTTAAATATAAAATTTATTCCTCCTCATGCCCCTTTCTAAGTGTAAGCATATCATTGAATTCTGAGGAATTTTCTCTGTCCTTACAGTTAAAGACCTGGAAGATATGCTATAAATAAATAAATAAATAACAAAAAAAGCCTTCTCAGCTATTGTTCTATTAAATTATAGTTAAAACCCAGGTACAAGGTTCTGAGTTTTAAAAGCTCCTTAGAGAGAGGAAACAATAATTACAGAGTGAAGCAAATATAATTTTGGCATTTAATAATAAGAATATGAATAAAAATAAAAATTAGAGTGATGTTTGACCCTTAGGACATGTTTAAGGGCTTTTAGTCATTAAAAAAACAAATGCTAGCAATGAAAAACAAACAAGGAAATATTAACCTAGCATCAAAAAGTTAGGAAAATCTTCAACTGAAGAAATTTTAAATTGGATTTTTAAGACATCAAAGATTTGTGGGATTTTTTTTTTATTCATCTTTCATACCTAATTTGGAAATGTATATCCAACATAGATAACATTAATCAGGGGACATCTTTGTGTGAACATTAAGGGGTGTTGTCAAGTCATTAGAGTCTCAGGAGCTCTGGACCCAGCAGGATCTTGGTCATAGCCTCACCTCCGTATCAGAATGCCTTAAGTTGTTCCAGACTTCTTAAGCATTGGCTGTCATGCAAATTAATTCTAACACTTTTTAACCCAAATTTCATGTAGGTCTGCAACTTTGAATGACATTGTTATTTAAGGACACGTCTTTTTCACCCCTACCATTTAACCTTGTGCTTTTTCTGGTTTTTGAGTTTCCTTCCATTCAGTCATAGTGCCGTAATTTATTCCCATTTTGAAATCTAATTGTTACATTTCTTTTTTTTTTTTAAGATTTTTACTTACTTTTTTTGACAGAGAGAGATCACAAGTAGGCAGAGAGGCAAGCAGAGAGAGGGGGAAGCAGGCTTCCTGCTGAGCAGAGAGCCTGATGCTGGGCTCCATCCCAGGACCCTGAGATCATGACATGAGCCAAAAGCAGAGGATAAACCCACTGAGCCACCCAGGTGTCCTAATTGTAACATTTCTGAAGATATTTTTCTTTCTGATTTTTTTCATGCCTGCTTTTAATGCTTGCCCTTTTTTGTGGCACAGTTAGTTGAAGTTCCTCTGCATTATATCTTTTCATTTATCTAAAAAATATTTTGTAGTTTATTTTAAAAATGCATTGAATACAGTATTTGGTCTCTTCTGAAC